TCTAATAGCTTCTTGTTACTACTAGTAAGGCACTTGTTCCTAGATGCATGGCACTTGTTACTAGTAGTAAGGGTGAGAGGAGTCATCAGTTTGATCATGGAACGGAACTAACTTCCAAAGCGTTGATCGTGTTGGGATCCACTGATGGGATCCGGAACCTCCAGAAAACCTAGATCCGTCCCGCCGTCCCGTTCATCCTCCCCCGGATGCCAGTGTCACCGTGTCCGCGTCGGGTTTCTGCTGTCTCACAGGGATTCACATGGAGTTGGTCTTTGGTTCCCAGCTGCAAGTCCAGGGCACCTAGGGTGCTGCAGCATCGAATCCCATCTCGACTAATAGTGGATTGATGATTATGATGATGGCAACTCGCAGTTCAAGCGTATTTCCGAAACCATCATATGAGAAAACAAATTGGTCGAACATGTTTGTGTTGCACTCCACCCAAGAAAGGCACCACAATACTACCCAAAGCCATGGAGCCCCGTTGGCACCAGGCGCCCCGGCTCCGCCCGTGAGCTCGGGTGAAAGGAAACCCATGGTGCCACACATGGTCATCCTGCAATCCGCCATGGTGCCACACATCCAGGACCACTCAAGTGCCCACTCCGTGCTCCACATCTTGACAGACGAGTCACGACTAGGAAACTGACACAGAATCGATCGATCACCATTTGAAATATGACAATTCGAGACGTAGCTGATTTCCTCGCTACATACCATTGCTGCTCTGAAGGAAACCATATTGGTGCGGGAATCCCTGCTCTGCAATTCCTCACAGGCTTAAATGTGCCTCCAAAAATCTTATCGTCTGCACCATATAACTATGATACCCAAACACAAAAGGCACCTCCGTGCAGTTCTTAAACGACACCAGGACTTGGAAGCTCCCTTCCAATCTTTCTATAATTATATATATACATGTATAAATATATATACAGATGTTCTTGACATACGGATTCTTTCTAAACATATTTCTGGCTTGACCAGTTCCAAGTAGATGCCAAATCACCGTTCTTGTCTCCGGCGTCCTCTCTGCAGACGTCACCACCTGGGCCAAAAAGCGAAAGAGGAGGAACCGAGGAACCGGTGGATGCAAAAGAAACTTCAAAAAAGCATCGCGTTGTTTGAGCTTTGCATAGGTTTAAATGTCTTGAGTGAAAAAAACGACACATGACATTGGTTGGGATATGTTGGGATACAGGTTGCCTCTCTAGGTGTCCTCTCTAGTGTGAGAGTAGTGCAGTGTTCCCGCGATACGAGATGAGGCAAGCAGAATTTGCAGTATACAGTATACAGCTATATACAGCTCATTTTGCAAAGTATAGACTGAGTAACTGAGTAAAACTGAGTCAACTGACTGGTGACCACATCTATATATATATATAAATATCCAAGTCTGTCTCCTTTCATCACCACCTTGACTAACTGCCATCATGGACCACCCCCATCCCTCCATCCCTCTGGCCTTAGCCAGTCCGAAATCCGTGAGCTTCGCCTGGCCGCGGCGGTCTCTCCGTTCTTTCGGATCTCAATTGGTCTGGCGCTGGAGTGAAGTCGCTCATTGGATCACTATGTTGCCAAGAAGCTACTAGGAACAAGTGCCACGCTACTAGGAACAGGTGCCTTACTAGTAGTAACAAGAAGCTACTAGGGGCTCCTGGCATCGCTACTAGTAACAAGAAGCTACTAGGAACAAAGGGCATCGCGACGAACGGAGCGATCGGACGCTACTCGTCATCTTGGGAAGACAAAGAACACGCACAAATTCCAGCACGAAGACCGTATGGGCTATTGGTATCGGAACGTTCGCTCCGTTCTGTGCCGGTTCAGTCAGTCACTGAAATCCTCAAAACAAAGGCTGGTTTCATGAATGCATGTGAATCCATGAAGGACAGGCTGCAGAAGTGTCATCAGGTGTCTCCCGCCTCATTTCTGGTATTGATGAGGATGTTCTCGGGCTTCACGTCGCGATACCTGGTTGTCCCAATAAGTCCAGGGAGTCCCTAAGGAGTCCAAGGAGTCCAGTGGTGCGCCCCCCTCGGAGTAATATAGCTGAGGTCTCGGTAGCGAGGTCTTCGTCTCAGGTCTTAATGAATGCATATATGGTACTATATACTTGATTGTTACTTTTTTGAAGGGGAATAGAAAGAACCAATATGACTCAATCCCTCGAACCGAAGATGGTCAACAACTTCCCCCCAAAGGCTAAAGGCTCCTGCCGCCCTCAGCAGCCTCTCCCGTTGGGCGCCCCTGACACGATGTCACTCTCGTGCAAGTAGGCCAAAGCCAACATCACCTGATGCCCAACGGTGACGGACGGCGTGAGGGGGCCTCCAATGCTAGTAGGTTGGAGGCAAGGGCCATCGCTAGTAGGTTGGAGGCCCATTGGTTCCCTGAAGCTTTCTCTCAACGAATCAGGTGTCAAGCTTTCTCTCGTCTCGACTGTAGCATGACGGATCAAAAATCAAATGGGTCACTCTTCCTAGAAGCAACCATGTGTTGTCGTGCATATGTCTGTGTCACGTTTCTGTTGGATCCAAGTTGTTGTGCCCCTCACCCCCATGGATGATGGCGTGGATGGTTGCTAACCGTTGAACTTGTATGAATCGCTACAGAACTGCTGTGGCAAGACCTTGTTCCGTCCAGCAGTACTGGTTCTCTGCTTGAGATTAGTGAACCAGGACGGAAGTCATGTTCTAGGCACTTTCGGGAAGAAAGAACACCTGCCATATCATGGTCTGGTCGGTGGCTACGGCCCAAGTAAGTTCCAGCGTATGTCGGCATACAATTCTTGCACAAACGACTCCAAATTCAAGTTTGCTCATTTGTCCAGCTCAAAACTCAAACGAAACCTCCAAAAAACCACAAACTCAGATAGTGCTCCAAACATACAGGTCGTGTAGGGGTGGTAGAATCACCCTCCCCGACTCCTCCGCACCACGACCATGGTAGCGCACGCCTGGCCCAAGTATAAGGCCACTCGGTCTGGTGCCAGGCCCAGGTATCTTGGCATCACGGCTGGTGACGGACAGTCGACATCGGGTTGGAATGGACTGGTCAATCTGTCGCGGTTGGGTTCAGCTTTTTGGGGTCACCTTCCAACAATGATGCACAACGCACGGGGGGGGGTTAGAGGACGCTACGTTCGGAGCAAAGGGCATCGCTACTAGGAGCAAGGAAGCTACTAGGGGCTCCTGGCCTCACTACTAGGAGCAAGGACGCTACTAGGAACAAAAAGCTGTGATGCAACATCATGGGATTACATCTCAGCCCAACGGTTTGCCATAGAGTCTGGTGACATATCGCTGCTAGGTTGGAGGCCATTGCTACAAAGACATGGCAATCCTTCCTCATCTTCCCCAGCGATCCTTCCCGCGCCTTCCCTCTTCGCCAGGCTCCTCACAAAGCCTTGGGCGCTGGTATCGAGCTGTCGATCCGCCCGGAAAGGGCCCATCCGCACGAAGGTCCAGTTGGATCGCCTGTCTCGTTTTGGCTCCCAACTTTGGGGCATCCTCAAAGAAGCTTGATTGTGCTGATTGTGGAGCATCCGCTGATTGTGCTGATTGGGTCTTCTCAGGTGTTTTGACGTTGGAATTTAGAGTGAGGTGTGCATCCGTTCTTCCAAAGCAATATTGTACATTTAGGGTGAGGTGTGCAACATGCATCAACGATCAAGAATAGCGGAGGGAGGATGCTCTCCCAAAACCTAACAGTGGATTTGGGGCACATTGTCTCTGCCAATGACATTTATTCAACAAACTGACAACTAGTCAGAACACCGCATATCCCGAGAACATGATCATACCGTTTATTAAATTTGCCTTGATCTTGTTGGATTGTTCCATTCCACCATGTACCTAAGTATCCTAAGTGGTTCCAATCACTGCAAACAGCTTGATTAGGTTGGAGGCCATCGCTAGTAGGTTGGAGGCCATTGTTCTAAAACAATTTGATCTGCAGAACATCAGGACTTCCACCTGCGAGGTCACAACACCGAACGGGCGTCTCTGGGCACCCCCGGCAGGCGATTCAAATCAGTGGGGCAAAGCTCTAAGAGAAGCGCCAAGTACTTGTCGAAGGCGAACCTCACTTTGTTTTTCAAGTCATCTGAGACATAATTTTGGAAACATGTCCATTCACAATGGTTAACATGTCCAAAACTCTAACGGTTAACATGTCCAAAACTCTAACGGCTCAAAAGTTAGACTAGAGAACTATAATCTTCAGTGCAACATTCAAAACATGGGGGTTGGGTCTGAAACTGGGTTTAAAATGTGACTTAAATGAAATATGTGGCATGTGGCTGTTGAATTGTGAATATACGGAAAGAGGTCCAAGTTTCTAGTGGTTCCCTCGCAATTCTGCTGTGCGTAGTTCGGAGTACGCACTCGTGGGTCGGATTCAGCTTCCAGCTTGTTATGCATATCCTCAATATGACAATGCTGTGAACCTTTTCAATCATCCGGTCAGTAGTAATGTAGTAAGGGATGTAAAGGTTTAGAGTTGAGAAAGTTTACCTTTTTCCCGCTTACCCAAGGGGGCCTTGCCCCGAAGAAAACCTCAAACCGACTCATCCATTCATCTCACCATGCTTGGTCACGCCCACTACCTGCACTCTATCTGCTCATAACATGTCCTTACTCCCCCAACAGTCAAAGCGCCTCGGAACCTCACTGCACCATCCGCAGAACCAGAGTCTGGGTGCGTCGTGCCCACTGAGGCAAGGAGAGTCCCGGGTCTCCCGGACGCTCGATGCAGGTGGACGATAAAAGGATGCTCTGCACGTTGCAAGGCCAAGACCTGTCACATGGCGTGGGCATGTGAGGCCAGCCTCCCAAACTGAACATTTACCGATTCAAGGTAGAGTTGTGGGTTGATTCACGGGAAAGAGTCGAGTCTCCTCAGTTCAGTCAAGTTATATGCACCCTTCGAGCATTATAGCTCAGATTGATAAGTTAAGGTGTGTCAGAGAAGGAAAGTGCCATTACTATGTGAAACTCTATGTGAACCAACCTTGCTCTGCCCCAAAGGACCTCTGATGCACATGAAGTGAGTTGCCCTCCTCTCAAGATCCCTCTAGTCTTTCCGTTTCATCCAACGCCCGTTCCGTCCGTTCAATCCCGCGGGGAGTCACACCGTCTTCACCACTCGGTCGGTCGGTTCGGCGGCACGTGGGCCTCCGAGGAGGCTTGTCGGTGATCCTGCTTCAGCTGTAGCTTCAAGGCAAACCTTGGAGTTGGGAGCTGTACTGCTGCGCACTTAAAGTGGGCGTGGAGGTGTGTTCAAAGCATGTAGCGCTCCCAATTTTCAGCACACGCTGGCCAAAGTCCCGTATTTCATCCAACTACAATACGTTTAGTTTTTGCCGAAATGCTTTTGTTCAGCTTTGCTTAGAACAGAAATTGGGTTTGTCTGGAAACGTCTATCTGCACGGAACTGGCCTGTCCTGCCTCAAATTCACAAGATCTCATAAGATATGCCAAACGGTTCCAAAGCCTTGAGAAGGCCTCACAATTAGGTTGGAGGCCATCGCTTCTAGGATCAAGGACGCTAGTAGGGGCTCCTGGCCTTACTACTAGGAGCAAGAAGCTACTAGGCACAAAGGGAATCGCTACTAGGAGGAAGGACGCTACTAGGTTGGAGGCCATCGCTTCTATGGTTGGAGGCCTCAGAAAATATCAAACTTCTTTCAAGGCCACGGAACTTCGGTTTCGAAGATTCCAACTTGGCAGCTTCGAAGCCAACACCCCAAGAGCCCCAACAGGGTTGGTGCATGGAAATGTGCTGAGCAAAAAGATGCAAAAAGCGAATGTCATTTGGTGATTCAACTGCTGTGACATTGAACTTGCATTCGTCCTTAGAATTGAACTCCCTCGGTTTCCTCGAACAGAAAGCTGCACCTTGTTCCACCTGCTCATTTTGGAAATTGATTCCCAAAGGACGTCAGCTTGATGGCCGAAAAGGACCAGTGCAGCACATTGGTCACTTCCATCCACCGAGAAGTAGACCAGTGTGCCCCCCACCCACCGCCTCCCACGCACCGCCCACGCACCGCCCGACCCTCCACGCGTCGCACCTCTGTGCCGAGCGTGGCCGGCGCCAAATGCTGCTGGCGGCGTCCCTGGGGAGCTCCACCTGGCGAAACAAAACCGAAGTTGGCGGTGGTAGAAAGGCTAAGGGTAGTAATTGTAGCAGTCATGGGTAGTCTATGATATCATCTTTCGTCACAACCACACAAAACGATAAGTTCTCGTCCAAGAAACCCCATGTGAGGAGCTGCGGGAGAGTCATTGGCACTGCACTCGGGCACATGCACGAAATCATCTTGGTTCCTTGCCAAAAGTAACGGCGGTGTGCATGATGTTCACGGGACCAAACACCCGCTCGCATGTACTCGTAGAGGGACCGCACAGGGTTGAAAAGGTGTTGTGAGTGAACCCTTCAAGCTGAAAATCACAGACTTCCTCAATGTTATTGACACATGAGTACTCTCCCCAGATTTACCCAATACTCCACTTACAATTGGACCAAGAGAAGCTCCAAGGAGTACCCCCGATCCTCCCAAATCCATGACTGCGCCTCGATGACTCGCCCGAAGCCGCCACGGCCCAGCTCCCGCACGCGGCGGAGGGCGCCCAGGGGGACCTCGGCGCTGCTCGCGGTCGAGGAGGTTGGAAGGTCGGTCGTCCAAACGACGAAAATGCTGGCTCGGTCGGCATTTTCTCAGGTCTGACAGCCCAGCAAGGACGCTACGAACGGGGCTCCTGGCCTTACTAGGAGCAAGAAGCTACTAGGAGCAAAGGGCATCGCTACATATGGACTACTAGCCATTTTCTGAGGTCTGACGGCCCCTTTTGGTGAAAAACATGGCCCACTTTCCGAAGGAAGGACCCTCTTCCTAGTCGTTGAAAAAGCCTCATGAAGCCAGGGTATTAGCCAAGAACCACAGAGATGGGCAAGGTTTTTTTCCCCTTAGCAATGGGCTCCAAGTGGCTTCAAACAGCTTTGAACCGCAAGCCGACATGGGGAACGCAGATCGATGAACATATTGAAACAGCGAAAAACCGAGACACCAAAGACCACCCGCTAAACAAATCTGGCAACCTCAAGTGAGCTTCCGCGACGGTCGAGGGTGAACACCAATCGAGCAGATTCTTTTCGCTCCAATGTACCTCATAGTCTCAGTGCTCTTGCTTTGCTGTACGGTGCTGAGCTCGTTGATGTGCCTTCTCCAACTGCCAGTCAGTCGAAGATGTGAAGTAATTATATAAAAAATACTTAAAGTGTACCTATCTAGCAGGGTAGTGGTGGGGGATCTCCCTGCTTCAGGACAAACCAACTTGGTGGAAGAGCTCCAAAGCCCGCTTTCACGTGAGTCATTCGTCGTACATGTTCAGATCATGCTCTCCTTTACATCAAAAGTTTTGAGTTCTTTCAGCAAACCAATAGTTATTCCTTCTCCAAACACCAGTCAGACCACGGAAGAACGATTTCGGTGGGCTTGTTGGGATCCTTTGCAAGCAACCGTGTGGCGTGGGATGCTGGAACATAATGTCGATTGAGCGAATGATGCACAAGCTGGCAACCCGCTCATTTCCACATGCACTTCTTGTGCCTCTCATATCCAATGCTGTTTCTCATCCGGATGTATACAAATCTATCCCACACTTAAAACAACTGGTCAAAAAAACACGTGTCACATGAGGTTGATTCGAACCCCCGACTCCAGCACAACGGTTCGTGAGAACCCACAATTTGCAATGAAGAACAACCAACCTACTGGCGATGGCCTCCAACCTAGAAGCGATGGATAGAAACTAAGAGATATTAGAAGCACACTACGGCATAGCACCGAACAAAGGGCGTCAACCGCTGCTCGTTTCCCCTTTGGGGAGTTCTGGACGCTTGGGAACGTGCGACAAAACTCATATGCCCGGGTTGGGACCGGCGGGAACGATCCGGTCGGATTGCCGGATAAAAAGGGAAAACAGCTGCCTCCAAGTCAAACATGAAATCATTCCACAAATAGGTGAGTCCTTCTGAAATGCCCAAAGTCAACAAATGTCAAGATGTCACCTGTCACATCCGCCAGAATCTGAATCTTAGATTTCAAAGTTCTCCCACTGCATGATGTAGAGCGCTCACGTGCCGCCCTTCAGAAATTGGACCGCCTGTGCCACCGCGAATCGTCAATCCAACAATTTGAGCTAATTTCAGGGAGCGTTTTTCATGAAAAAAATATCCGAAACGTCTTGGAACGTGTTGACAACAAAGTGAAGTCTTGTTTTAAGTAAATCACAGTAAATCCATATACCAGGTAAGCCCCTACCCCTGAAAACTCCAACGAAGTTATATTGTTGGAGTAGATCTAGAGTTGGAGATCATTGCTATGGTACTTTGATCACAGCTCAGCTGCCAAATACGTCCAAGTAATCTGATACGACGCACCTCAATGGAGTCTGGCAGATTGGAATTGCAGAGCACTTGGGACTTGTATTTTCAACTGTGTGCAAGAAGCTACTAGTAACAAGTGCATCGCTTCTAGTAACAAGTGCCTTACTAGTAGTAACAAGGACACTACTAGGAACTAGCCCTTTCATCAGCTCCAAACCAAGGAGAATCCTCCAGTAGCATGGCCACTGCACGATTTCAACGAGCCTCTCATGGAAACTACTTCTTCGGCGCTGTAGACCGACCACTTTCAGACCAGTCGACCCCCCCCAAGTTCACGGATTCGAATCGTCCCATTGAGTCCATGTTCAGCTTGGTGGATGTTGCTGGTAATAGCTTCTTGTTACTACTAGTAAGGCACTTGTTACTAGTAGCGTGGCACTTGTTCCTA